TTAGAAGCTTTTTAATTCCGTCCTCCATGGTGGCATTACACTGGAGGTGTGGAGCAGAAGTGCGGTGGTCTTGTTCTTCAAGAAAGGTAACAACGCTCTCTTGAAGGGCTACAGACCGATTTCCCTTCTGAGGCGCGTCTACGTGCTGTTTTCGAGAGTCACTACGAATCTTCTCGCGCGTAGACTTGACCACCAGCACCATAGACCGCATACATGCCCTTAGGAAAATTACATACAGAAGTCCGAGGAGTACAATTTGCCACTATGTTGGCGTATGTGGATTATGAGAAAGACTTTGATTCCGTCGAAATTAGGGCGGTGTTGCAGTCCCCTCAGTGGTGCCAAGTTGGCTGTCGGTATATCGAAGTGCTGAAGTGCTTGTACAGTAGGGCAACGATGGCTATCCGAGTACAGAACATAAGTGCGAAACCTATTCAATTGTAGAGAGGTGTAAGACAGGGTAACTCTTCACCCGCTGCATTGGGAGACGTTTTCAAACTTCTGGACTGGATAGGATACGGTATCAACATCAATGGCGAGTGCATCATTCACCTTCGATTTGCCGACGATATAGTCCTTATGGCAGAATCGCCGGAGGACCTAAGCACTATGCTCAATGACCTCAATAGTGTTTCCCAACGGATAGGTCTTAAGATGAACATGGACAAAACAAAGATCATATAGACATATCAAATAGTCCGACTATATAAGTCTTACTTCGACCGAGAGGTCAAACGACGGATTCAACTCGGTTGGGCAGCGTTCAGGAAATTACGGCACATCTTCTCGTCAGGTATCAAAACATGAAAACGAGACTGTACAACCAGTGCGTGTTGCCAGTGGAGACCTATGGGACTGAGACGTGGTCATTCACTACTGGCTGAATGAGGAAGCTCAAGGTCGCTCAGCGAGCTATGGAGAGGGCTATGCTTGGAGTTTCTCTGCGTGATAAACTTAGAAATGAGGATATCCGCAGTAGAACCAGAGTAACCGACATAGCCCAACGGATTATTAAGCTGAAGTGGCAATGGGCCGGCCATATAGCTCGAAGAACCGACAACCGATGGGGAAAGCAGGTTCTCGAGTGGCGGCCTCGTAACGGCGGACGAAGTGTAGGGCGCCCCCACTAGATGGAGTTACAACCTGGTTAGATATGCAGGAAGTCGATGGATGTAGGTGTCTCAGGACCGTGATTTGTGGCATTACTTGGGGGAGGCCTATGTTCAGCTGTGAACTTGTGAATGGTTGTAATGATGATGATAAAGCAATTACAGTTCGACCACATCGTGACACGTCCCCGCAACAATTACACATTTGTGTAACGTGAGGGACATAATTACATGATAATACCAAAATATGTAAATCAACAGCATCTCAGTGTAACATAGGGCGACCTCTCAGCAACACCATCCTGCTTGCCTGCACTATAAGAACCACCAAAGGGACAGCACCACGATACTATCTAAGCACTCGTATGATGACTTCACTCGTAGAATGACTTATGCGGAATCCCTTCCGCTCAGCACCTACACTGAACTTTATAACGCACAAACGAGTGAAAGGTTTCTCGATATACCATCAATTCCACTCTGATACTATTACGACGCTCCATCAGAGTGACACAACCTCCCGCCTACTCTCGATCCAACCGGCATTCCATAGATGCGCCAACATGATGCAACCTCCCGCCAATTCTCGATCTAACCGGCTTTCCCTAGACGCGCCTATAAACCAATCAAACATAAACCAAGAAAGCACATAGATATGTTAGTTAGAATGAATAATGAATGAATACATTCATTGCACACGTACAAAGTACACGCAAAACAACAAAAGGATTGAAGGGGAAGGAAGGAATATTGGATTTAATTGATATGATTTCAGGTAATTCCAAATATGACGTCATTATATTTTATTAACTCGGCTTACGGAGTCTGCTTTTTGAAATTCAAGTATATGTAGTCGTATGTACTGTTAATACCTCGTAGGGAGGTAACATTTCGTTCGAGTGACAAAGGCTCAATTATTTGAGATGACGTGTATTTAGGGGTTCAGCGAAAGGAAATGGTACAGTAGAATCTCAATAACTCGAACCTCGTTAAGTTGTAATTCTCAATAAGTCGAAAAAAAATGATATATCCTTCCACTTTCACAGAGTACGAAAAATATATGCTACCTAGTATATATTTTTACTCTATAACTCGAATTTCAAAAAGCAGACTCCCATAAGTCGTAGTCAGTGAAATGTAATTTCGTTTTACTTGGTATTCCCCGAACTTAAAGAATAAAATCCAAAAGGAATGTTCGGTGCTTCTTATCTATCGTTTGTGCCTTGTACACGGATGAATATGTACATTCATTAAACTTTACAAGTAACATAGCTGTTATTTGTAAAGTTTAATGAATCTTATTTATTTGTTCAGCTTGTTCAGTACTTATTTGACTATTAACTAGCAACAACATGAATACTAAAAGGAAGCCAACGACTTTAACTCCGCGTGAAAAAATCGACGTTATTAATGTGGTAAAAAAGATATGAAGAAAAAGACGTGGCAGATCTATACGGAATACCAGCAAGCACTTTCTTTACAATAATTAGGAATGAATCCAAAATATTGTTAAGATACGAATCAAGTAGCAATTTGTTTTACAAAAGACGACTAGCCGAGTTTCCTGATGTAGAGGAATGCGTACTCACCTGGTTTAAACTGTGACGTGACAAACAAGTGTAGAGCCTATCTTACGCAAAAATGAATATATATCATAAAACTTAAGTCAATTTTTTATTTAACTATGACTTTAACTCGAAAAATATACTTAAAAATTGCGACTTTCTTAATCGAAATTTCAGCAATTAAATCCTTTGTATCTCGAACGTCTTGTTAAGTCGAAAACTCGTTAACTCGAATTTTTTTGCATTTCTCTTGACATTCGAGTTATCGAAATTCTGATGTAATTGTTTTCGTCTTTTTTAATGGAATAAGGATGACAAACGAGTACGTAGTCCACCAGATGGTAAGTGGATGCTGTGGCCCATAGACATCTACATTTATCCTCGATTAAGAATCAAAATGCAGATGCGTTGTCACCTCTGAAGACTAAGATGGAGTGCTTTGTTTCCAGTAAAAAGTGTCTACGATTCTCTATACTCACCATACGAAATACAGCAATATAAGGTTGCTTTTTTTGAGAGCGTGGTCCTACCTCTTACCAGCCAACCCATTCGTCCTACAATCATAATATAGCTGCAGCATGGCTCTATCACGTAAAAAAGACTTACTGAGGATTACGACTTAACGAGGTTTGAAAGCAAATTTTACTTGTACTTTATTCAATTTTAAGCAATCCCAGGTCGGCGGATTCTTATATTTAGAATAACTTTCATTTTCTTCTTTCGATCGACGGTCGAACATCACGACAATCAAACAATCACAGATTTAGTATTTCACAGCACAGGTCATATTTTCAGGTCCTCCTTTACGGTGCAGGCTATCCATCCAGTCTTAGCCATCTTTGGAATACCCTTCCCAATGATATTAAAAATGCAACTAATAAAAATTCCTTTAGAGTATAGCTACGACATCTTTACCTGACGGCAATTACTGACTTTTTTACTTCAAATATTTATTTATATATACAGGCTTATTTTTGAAAAGTTTTGACACTTTTGAGTGACAACGCTACAAACAACTAGAAGAACCTGGATTTTTTTCAAATATTCGTTGTATTTCAAGGAAGGTTCTTAAAAAGAGAAAAATTAAAATGTTTTACTAAACGCAAAACTCGCGAACGACTGGACTAATTCGGTAAATATATATGTTTCAAACAGTCGTTTTAGATCGAGGATGTGTCTTATAAAGAGAAAAATTGGAAAATAAAAAATTAAACTATTAGTCAGACCTTGATCAAATTTATATGGAACCACATGTAAAGCACCAGCTTTCAAATAAAAAGAGAGTCATCGAAATCGGTTCATCCACTAAAAAGTTATGAGGTATAACACACATAAAAAATCATACAGTCGAATTGAGTACCGTCTCCTTTTGTGAATGAATAGCTTAATGTGTTGCTAAGAGCAAAACTCGCGAAAGGTTGAACCGATTGGGCAATTTTTTTTTCAAATATTCGTTGCAGTTTGAGGAAGGTTCTTATGAAGAGAAAAATTGGAAAATTTGCACGGAAAAACGTAAAAACCACATTTTTATTTTTCTCATTCAAACTATTCCTAGCTTTAAATTTGCGTCTACTGTCAATTATAGGAATATCTATTAACCGAAGAATCGATTTTTTATAGTGCAGCAATTTGAGTCGCAGTACTTTAATTGCTAGTAACCAAGTTGATTTTCAGTCTAATCGGACTGCACAGCAATTTGAAGAGCGAAACGCTTTCAAATGGCTGTACAAATCATTTACTAACTGTCCTTGTTTGTTGAAGTTTCAAATTTAAATCATTCAAATAGCCTGTAAGATCGACCAGAAATGCCAAGTCACATATCCATTTTGGGTCATTTAATTGAGATAGTGGTTTATCTTTTATTTTCATAAAGTCTGCTATCTCATTTCTAAGCTCGTAAAACCGTTTCAACATTTTTCTTTTGCTCAGCTATCTGACTTCACAATAATATGTTACGTCGTTTTATTCAGCCAAAAACGCCTTGAACTGACGATGGTTAAGCCTTCGGGATCGAATAAAGTTGATGGTTTTTACTACCACATTCATAACATTCTGGAGTCGAGTAGACTTAGAACACAAGTTCTGTTGATGGATAATGCAATGAAGGACTATCAAATCATCTTTTTGTATATGTAATTCTGTTGTTTTTTTATTCGAAATGCCGATGAAATCTTTACGTAAGCCGACCATAGAAGGTGCACCATTAGCACATACTCCAATTAATTTTGACCATGGCAAGCCAGAATTTGTGAATACCTTTTGAACTTCAATAAAAATATCATCTCCTGTAGTGGTTCCTTTTAGCGGATGTAAAGCAAGCAATTCCTCAGTAACAGTGAACTCCTCGAATAAATATATCCAGTTGAGCTGTGTCAGACAAATCGGTGATCTCGTCTAATGCTATGGAAAATGATTCAAAACCAGCCATAAGGTCAGTCAATGTTGTTTTTATATCATTAGCCATCATTTCTATACGTCGAACAACAGTTCGTCTTGACAAACTAATTTTTTCTAATTCATTTTTCTTTTCAGGACACAAAATACCGCAAAATTCTAACATACACTCCATAAATTCTCCTTCGGCAAATTGTTTTATTGCCTTTGCCAATTTTAAGCTGCGTATAAAACTAGCTTTCACAACATTATCAAGTTGTGTTCTTTGTTTATGAAACATTTGTTGCTGTTTTTAAAAATTTGCGGTAAGCTTCTGGAATTTTTCTGTTCTTAATTGTCCTGTCATTAAGTGCAGCGTAGCATGCATAATTGAGTAATGCGTCTTTATATTGAATTTTTTCATTACTGAAATGGATTCATTACACAGCAAACAAATAAGCTTACCATTGTGCAATATAGAAAAAAATTCTTCAGTCCATTTTTCTTGAAACTGGCAACCCTCTGTATCTACTTTTCATTTCTTTCTACCAGACATCATTTCTGTATACTTTTCATTCAATAAACTTAATATCAAACTATAGTTAGTAACCACTCAAGATGCACACAAAGTCACAAAGCAAGTTGACGGCTCGAGCAGTTCGCTAGGATATCGCTTGTCCAAGTTATCACCTCGGTAGCTCAAATAGAACTGAACTAATGTTCAGCCCACCCACCCGCTTATAAAGGCAAAATGAAGGAATAATCTGGAATAAACTAGTTTAGAATAATTGAGAAGCAATAAATCTTTTGATGTGTCGCTCGTGAGGCGGCAAACCTCAAAAGAATTTGGTCGAGCAAGCCGAGTGCCGGCGATTATCAAAGTGTGAGGCGGCAAACATCAACGGATTTGATGTTTGCCGCCTCACTGTCACTCCCGTGGGTATAAGTGCCTAATGTAATATTTTTTAATTGGGTTTTTTCAAAATGTCTCGCGGGCCGGATCATATCTTACAACGGGCTGGATCCGGCCCACGGGCCGGTTGTTACCCATATATGGTCTATAGCATCTATGTAAACAAAACAAAAAATCTAATCCTTGTAAAACTGAAACATTGAAAAGTTTGTGCTGCATTTTAAACCGAAAATCATCCTCATAAATTCGAATGATCCAAAAGGTGTGGCTATTGCCGTTTTTTCGATATCTTCTGAAGCTATCATGATATTGTGATAGGCTCGTTTTAGGTCAATACGGGAAAAGATGTTTTTACCTACATAATTAGTAAAAGTAAAATCTTGCAGGCGAGAAATTGAGTATCTGTCCGGTTTAATTTTTGCATTTAACACTCTGAAGTCACCATATGGGCGAATGCTACCGTCTTTTTTAACATGCAATGTAGCGGGCTAGATAAACTGCTACTACTACTAGGCCTACAAATACCCATTTCGAAATTCTTCCCTTACTGTTCGCGACGGCCTAAAGACTTTAAGAAAAAAGTGATGAAAGAATATTGTTTTGTATAAAAAGTGAAATTACCAACGAAATCGAGCAAATTGTGTATTAATATAGTTTTACAGTATGTTTACAACTCTTAATATATTTGTATAGAATGTCGTTTTAATAATAGTTGATATAAACAACTTTAAACATTTAAGAAAAAATCAACCAATCACAGCGCGTCATATCGTAGAACTTTCTGGAAGTTTAATTAACTGCGCAATAGTTTGTACTGAAAATAATGAGAATATTTTTGTGTTCTAAAAGAGTTGTAAATATGACATTTAGTTAGCATATGGTATATAGATTACGATAGTATAGAAATATTTTGTATAATTAAACGCATTTGGTAGTTATAGAAAAATTAAAGAATTAATGTACCCATTTGTTGTGAAAATTTGGGACATTACGTTTAATAACTTTCTTAAATGTAAATATATTGAGTAACCTTTATCATATACAGATAAAGGACCAAAATGCCGATTTAATGATGTTTAGCATATTAGTGTAAGATTTAAGCTTATATATAAAATATTGTAATTTATGCTAATTACATAGTGAAAATGTTTAAAAATAAAGAGGCAAAACGGAAAATGGCAAGCGGCTCACTATACAGTATAGTCGAAGTCTACCTTATGGGGGCAAATCCCAGTAGCGTTGTAGTAGGAAGAACTACCAGTGACAAGCAGTAGTATCCGGTAGTAGCTGAAGTGACTAGTAGCAGAACATAGTGAACAGTAATAGTGAATTAGAAAAAGTTTAGCTAGCCGAAAAAGGTCGTAACTGAAAATCGCAGTTACACATAGCCGAAAAAAGTGGCAACTGAAAATTCGCAGTTGCATATAGCAAAAAAGTGTTAGCTAGCCGAAAAAGGTGGTAACTGAAAATTCGCAGTTACATATAGTGAAAAAGTGTTAGCTAGCCGAAAAAAGTGGTAACTGAAAATTCGCAGTTACATATAGTGAAAAGTGTTAGCTAGACGGAAAAAGTGGTAACTGATACTCGCAGTTACACAAGTGATAAAATCAATTAGTTTTAGTTGATTAATAGCTGCTAGTCAGTAGTGTTAGAAAACCAGCTACTACCAATAGATATTTTGATACTACCAATAGATATTTTGATACTACCAGTAGATATTTTGATACTACCAATAGATACTTTGATCGTACCAGTAGATATTTTGATACTACCAATAGATATTTTGAAACTACCATTAGATATTTCGATATTACCAATAGACAAAAAGCTTGGCGTGCTCAGCAGAGCGGGACAGTATTTCATGCCGGCACACCGCCTGCAACTTTACAAGGCGCAAGTTCGGCCTCACATGGAATACTGTTCCCATCTCTGGGCAGGGGCTCCCCAGTGCCAGCTCCTTCCACTTGACCGCATCCAACGCAGTGCTGCGCGAATCGTCGACGACCGAGCCCTTTCCGATCGGCTCGACTCATTGGCACTGCGAAGAGATGTTGCATCCCTTTGCATTTTCTTTCGCATCTACCATGGGGAGTGCTCTGAGGAATTGTTCGGATTAATCCCAGCCGCCAAATTTCACGAACGCACATCGCGGCAGAACTCCCGATACCATCCACACCATCTGGATGATTGGCGGTCCACCACTGTGCGATTTAGAAGATGTTTTCTTCCTCGCACGACCTCCTTGTGGAATCGATTACCATCAGCGATTTTTCCGGACCGATACGACTTAGGGACCTTCAAGAAAAGAGCGTACTCCTTTTTAATCCAAGATCGCTCGATCCTAGTCAATCCTTTTCTGAAGGAGTATTCCCTGACCTACTAAAAATTGCTATTATAAAGCCAATACATAAAAAAGACAAAAAAACGGACCCCAATAACTACCGACCCATTGCACTCTTACCCGTAATTTAAAAAATTTTTGAAAGAGCTATGTACAAACGATTATACTCATTTTGAGCGTCGTCGAAAATATTGTACGTTTCACAAAATGAGTATAATCGTTTGTACATAGCTCTTTCAAAAATTTTTTAAATTACGGGTAAGAGTGCAATGGGTCGGTAGTTATTGGGGTCCGTTTTTTTGTCTTTTTTATGTATTGGCTTTATAATAGCAATTTTTAGTAGGTCAGGGAATACTCCTTCAGAAAAGGATTGACTAGGATCGAGCGATCTTGGATTAAAAAGGAGTACGCTCTTTTCTTGAAGGTCCCTAAGTCGTATCGGTCCGGAAAAATCGCTGATGGTAATCGATTCCACAAGGAGGTCGTGCGAGGAAGAAAACATCTTCTAAATCGCACAGTGGTGGACCGCCAATCATCCAGATGGTGTGGATGGTATCGGGAGTTCTGCCGCGATGTGCGTTCGTGAAATTTGGCGGCTGGGATTAATCCGAACAATTCCTCAGAGCACTCCCCATGGTAGATGCGAAAGAAAATGCAAAGGGATGCAACATCTCTTCGCAGTGCCAATGAGTCGAGCCGATCGGAAAGGGCTCGGTCGTCGACGATTCGCGCAGCACTGCGTTGGATGCGGTCAAGTGGAAGGAGCTGGCACTGGGGAGCCCCTGCCCAGAGATGGGAACAGTATTCCATGTGAGGCCGAACTTGCGCCTTGTAAAGTTGCAGGCGGTGTGCCGGCATGAAATACTGTCCCGCTCTGCTGAGCACGCCAAGCTTTTTGTCTATTGGTAATATCGAAATATCTAATGGTAGTTTCAAAATATCTATTGGTAGTATCAAAATATCTACTGGTACGATCAAAGTATCTATTGGTAGTATCAAAATATCTACTGGTAGTATCAAAATATCTATTGGTAGTATCAAAATATCTATTGGTAGTAGCTGGTTTTCTAACACTACTGACTAGCAGCTATTAATCAACTAAAACTAATTGATTTTATCACTTGTGTAACTGCGAGTATCAGTTACCACTTTTTCCGTCTAGCTAACACTTTTCACTATATGTAACTGCGAATTTTCAGTTACCACTTTTTTCGGCTAGCTAACACTTTTTCACTATATGTAACTGCGAATTTTCAGTTACCACCTTTTTCGGCTAGCTAACACTTTTTTGCTATATGCAACTGCGAATTTTCAGTTGCCACTTTTTTCGGCTATGTGTAACTGCGATTTTCAGTTACGACCTTTTTCGGCTAGCTAAACTTTTTCTAATTCACTATTACTGTTCACTATGTTCTGCTACTAGTCACTTCAGCTACTACCGGATACTACTGCTTGTCACTGGTAGTTCTTCCTACTACAACGTTACTGGGATTTGCCCCCATAAGGTAGACTTCGACTATACTGTATAGTGAGCCGCTTGCCATTTTCCGTTTTGCCTCTTTATTTTTAAACATTTTCACTATGTAATTAGCATAAATTACAATATTTTATATATAAGCTTAAATCTTACACTAATATGCTAAACATCATTAAATCGGCATTTTGGTCCTTTATCTGTATATGATAAAGGTTACTCAATATATTTACATTTAAGAAAGTTATTAAACGTAATGTCCCAAATTTTCACAACAAATGGGTACATTAATTCTTTAATTTTTCTATAACTACCAAATGCGTTTAATTATACAAAATATTTCTATACTATCGTAATCTATATACCATATGCTAACTAAATGTCATATTTACAACTCTTTTAGAACACAAAAATATTCTCATTATTTTCAGTACAAACTATTGCGCAGTTAATTAAACTTCCAGAAAGTTCTACGATATGACGCGCTGTGATTGGTTGATTTTTTCTTAAATGTTTAAAGTTGTTTATATCAACTATTATTAAAACGACATTCTATACAAATATATTAAGAGT